AATACTAGAAAATTATACAAGTTGGAAACCATATGATGTTCTTCCTCTCTCACAATTATTATCATGTGTTTGGACAATTTTTTCAAACTTCTTTCATAATTTAAGCACACGGGTCTGAGAATAACCGTACACTGAAAAAAATTGTTGTGAAATTTGTATGCTATAAAAAATAACAAACTATGCTTTTATTCACGTTGCATTAATGTAGTTTGTCATGAAAGATTATTTGACAAATTTAAGATAATACTTAATAATCTGAGTTGTGAGTTTTTAAGCTTATATGAACTATTTTTTCTTATTTCCAGACAACTTTTCATGAGTAGATATATATGTTTGTGATGCTATATTTTAAGAAAACATTTATCAAATAATACTGGAAATGTATGTTATTATTTTCAGAAATCTTAGGTCATATTTTCTTGTTCTATTGGTAGATATTGTTTTAATATTTTAAACAGTATTTTACTTATTTTCATTTAATTCTTTCTCTTTTTTTTAAAGGGGATTTTTCCAGTGCATAGTGTTATGTGTTGCAAGTTTAAATCATGAAATCCATCTAGCTTTAATGTGAACAATGTCTTTCTATAATCTTACTGGTCGAGACCTACACACCAATGGTATAGAGGTCCATCTGAAAATACAAGCGTCCTTTACCCACATGGTACTGCTGCGATATGGTCCAGTTGCATTTTCTGCCCAGTTTTAAATGTTTCCTTATTCTCTTCATCGTCTCCTTATTCTGGAAGTTACCGCAGCTGCAGCTAAAAGGAATTTGGTTTGCATTGGTTTGCATTAGTTTGCAGTGGGATGGCAAACTTAACAGCAAGTCCTTTTCAAACAGACTCAAAGCTGATTTTTTCATGCCGCTCGGAGAAAGGCCTGAATTTATGTATTTTAAGTAGAGAAAAAAGCAAATAAGAGCGAAGGTGTTCCCAGGCCAGGAGAAGCATGGTCCCTCCAACATGTCCTGGGTCTTCCCCCGGTCACTAAACTAGATAGAACCAGAGAAACTATTTAAATGGATTTCATTACATTCAAAGGAAGGTTTCTCACCCATCATCTGTACTTCTTAACAGGTTTTTCCCACGCTTCGACCTTAACCCAAACAACTTTTTCAAGGGAATGAGGTTCTTTGGATTAAGGAAGAAACGTTGGGAAAACCTGCTAAGAAGTACGGATGATGGGTGAGAAACTTTCCTTTGCTTTGACTAATCCCTGTACGACAGAGCTTACACAAATTTCATTAGAGTTCAATTTGTTGTGGTTCGAAATGTAGGTACTGCAGCTTTAAATACATATGAGGATTTTCTACTTCCAGGTGGATCATCAAGACTATTGGTCCTCCTAACTGTCAATCATTCTGGCGAAACGTGCTCGTCAAATAAGATCAGAGAGTTTTGTTCCAAAAAAGGAGAAAGCGGTTATTTCTTTAAATTGTGTAAAATTGTGAGACGAACCATAACAAAATTCAAACGTGCGAAATGGGAAGATTCTAAATTTCACAGACAAATCTAAAATGTCTCATATAGAAAAAACAGCATTATTTATGATTAAAACTGAAATACTGACAATAGGCACAACATTTTTACTCTGTGTGTAAAGCAGGTAATGGTAATGTAAAATATGTATTAAAAACATAAACATAATTGTAAGTTTGACAAAAAAAAAAGCGTACCATAAATTCTCATTGCGGGCGACGGCGAGTTGTTAATTTGCTTGAAATGTTGCGGACAGCTGATAAAAAGCTCATATTTATGCTTTGAATCCGACATGTGTTGGAATATGAGCGGGATAAATATTTATGAAGGTGAAGTCAGTGACCTCCTCCCACTGACGAGAACGCCAACTGCTCACAGCCGCTCTTTAATCACATCATACGACTCTGCACAATACATTTTATCTCAAAAATAAGTCTTTTATTCTTTATCTTGAGTCCAAAAGCTTAAAGAACGCACTAAACAACCACTTCCCTTTAAAATCCACTCTTCAAACCATTTGAAACTTTCTTCATTGGTCTAACGGAACACACCCGAGAGTTCCAACTGTTTTCTGTTTTCAGGTGGGAGGTGTTAAAACCTTTTGCAGATTGAAACGATTGGATCAGAGTTTACCGTGACGTATGTAATGCTGAGTGAGTGTAGCATTTAGCCTAGCTTTAGCCATCTCCTTTGCCACTAATGGAGCCCGTGGGGATTAGAGCCAGAACATCTTATCAGCAATGACTTTTGCTAAACGTTCCTCTTGCACCGGCTTAAATTTCTTGATAACTGGAGCCGAACCAAAACAGATTACTTTACTATCGAATTTGCTGCCATTGTTAAACTACAACCAAAACATTTCGGCGGCAAACTCTTGACGTCACCGACACCTACCTACAACACCCGCCCCCCCTGCTTGCTGATTGGTCGGAGGGGATTCAATTGAGGAAACTGAAACATGTAGGTAATGATACTGGACCAGAGTTTAGGGATGGATTAGGCCAGACTAGGTTGGATCAGAAAGGTTTGAAATGTATAGTGTTTCTTAAAATATTTCTCAAATAAATCCCACAACTCTTTTCTGTAACTGCACTGCGAAAAGTGATTGATAAAATTTGGCAAAATGTATTTTAATTTGAGCACATTTCGACACTAGAATAAGATTTGTCATTGGGATTAGAAAATTATCTTTTTAACTTTTTTCTTTAATACATATGTCACTGTGCAGGTAATGGTCTGTATCATACATTTTTTTTCACATTTTGAGTCAAAATATAGCAATAAATGAACTTTTGAACAATGTTTTGAATCCGAGTTTTATGACCAGGGCTGCCATCCAAATGAGTTTCCTTTGCAGAGTGAACGGGCTCTCTCTTAGAAGAGCGAGGATTACATTCAATACACTTTTTGTTATAACATTTCAGAAAACTTTAGGAACTTTCCCCTCGATGCACCTTCATGTAAAAACTGCCTTTAGCTTCAAACATTCTCCTTCATTCTTAACCGTTATCTATTCATTGAAATGATCAGACTCACTCCACTTTGCACTAAAATCTATAAACTTTCCTTCTCTAACATATTTTTCAGTCTGACGTCCAGCTGTGAGACAGAACAAGGTCGGATTAGAAATGTCATTCAAACAAAGAGACGACCGGTTTTGGAATCTGCGGTAAAGATCACGATGAAAATTCCATCTCCAATCATTTCGCTTGTAATTGTGTTGATAAAAAACATAATTCTGCTTCTCTGCTTGTAATTAAGTAATGTGTAAGTTATGCTATTTTCATTTTCCGTGTATATCTAACACTGATTTTAGCGCAGGCAGGACAAAGGCAGCTATTTCAACAGTAAACTACAGAATATACAGTCCTCTCAGTACCGTTAAACAAACACATTAAAACGAAACGGAAACAAAATCACAAAAAAGGTAGATTTTTTTTTTTTACAAGAGAAAACTAAATATATCTTTGTGCTGATTTGCAGATCAAGTGTCAGAAGTGTACATTCATTTACAGATTCAATACAGGCCGCTTTTTTTTTTTGCGTTTTTGTCGACGATACGACAATAATGCGAGATGTTCCAAGGCGACGGTCCGGGGAAACTCGGAAAATATGCAAAACGGGAGCCATTTGTTAAAAGTGCTAGGTGATATATATGACTAGAGCTGTTTTCAGAGCTGGTAAAACATCTATTTTACATTTAAAAAAAGGCAAGCTTGGCATTTTAAAACACTAAAAAAGAAAAGGAAATGCTAATGAAGGCAGCTGGCAAGTCTAGCTTTGGTCTTTCTCTTAAACACACACAGAATCAGGTGTAAACTGCAAAAAGTGATGAAGAATAAGTCAAAAATGGCTCAAATTTGGCTAAATGTGTTTTATTTTGAGCACTTTTTGACTGCCTGGAAACAAGATTTGCAATGGGACAAAGCAAAATTGTCGTGTTTTAAAAAGTTGAAATAAATGGCTTTGTCCCAATCTTGTTTAAACGCAGTCAGAATCTTCTCAAGTTCAGATAAAAACACTCAATTCAAGCCATTGTTGCCTCATATTTTATCAGTTTTGCCGTGTATAAACTGGGACTGTAAACCGATGCAGGTAGATATATGTTATTTCTGTATTTTTTTTGTCTTTTTAATGTTTTTTTATAGTTTATGTTGTACTTTTCACAACAGCATTGACTTATTTGGACGACATCGGACCGATACAAACACAGCGCGTCCTTAAATATCGGTCGTTTACAGATGTTTGGAGATGGTTGTCGTGCGTTGTCCACAGCTTCAGTGATGCGGCCCAGGCTGGACCAAGCTGAACCAGGGAGAACCAAGAGGAACCAGGAGGACCCAGGAGGAACCAGGAGGAATCAGGAAGAACCAGGAAGAACCAGGCATCTGAAAAAAAAATAGAATTAATTACATGAAAACAAGGTCCTCATTTGTGAAAAGGGGACATTAGCTATGTTCTTGAGCTTTTAGTAATATAAATAATAGTAATACATCTTTATTTGTACAACACTTATCAAAAACAGTGTTCACAAAGCGCTGCACAGTCAGAATAAAATAACAAAAACATAACAGTCACAATCCTAAAGAAATACAGGGGATTAAAGCAGAGAGAGAAGAAAGACAATGTGGAAAAGTGAAATACATGTAGACTTTAAAATCAGACAGTTGTGGGAAGGCCATTCCATAAAAGTGGGTTTTAAGAAGTGATTAAAAATATACTGATTGTCTGATTGCTTGCCTCATCTCCTCGGGCAGGTGGTTCCAAAGCCGAGGAGCACGGACAGATAAGGCTCGTTCACCCTTTGTCCGGAGCCTCGACTTTGGAACAGCCAATACCCTTGGAAAAGCTAATGACACTTTAAGATGTTCTGGGCAGGAAGAGGACCCAGGGAACACCAGGACACACTGGAGAGACTATGAACACATAAAAACTACCAAAACTCTACTTAAAGGAACACTTTCTTAACAACAAATGTCATTCTCAGTATTAAAAATTCCAAATGAGTTGTTTTTACCTGTTCTACCTGTAGCCTCCTCCTACAGCTCCGCGGGTCATGGTGTCGTAGCGCAGGCCTCTGAGCGGGGGGGTGGGGGAGGGCGGGACGTCCTGCCGCAGGGGACCCCTCTGCTGTGAGCTACGCACACAACACACACTGAGAACAACTGGCAACGCAAATACACTGTAGTGTCAAGTCTGAGCTATCAAACCTGCGGAAAAGAGCGATGCATTTATGAATATACTATAGTAGAGGAATATGTCTTTTTGATTTGAATGTGGCCTTTATTAAAGTAAGGACAAACTCAGCCACTTTTGACTTTTTGATCCACACCAAATCCAGATGTAAAACTAACAAATAACTGAAAGTGTGACCTGTGCTACCTGGGGTGTGGATAGTAGTTTGGGACCTGTGCTACCTGAGGTGTGGATAGTAGCCTGGGACCTGTGGTACCTGAGGTGTGGATAGTAGCCTGGGACCTGTGGTACCTGGGGTGTGGATAGTAGCCTGGGACCTGTGGTACCTGGGGTGTGGATAGTAGTCTGGGGCCTGTGGTACCTGGGGTGTGGATAGTAGTCTGGGGCCTGTGGTACCTGGGGTGTGGATAGTAGCCTGGGACCTGTGGTACCTGGGGTGTGGATAGTAGCCTGGGACCTGTGGTACCTGAGGTGTGGATAGTAGCCTGGGACCTGTGGTACCTGAGGTGTGGATAGTAGCCTGGGACCTGTGGTACCTGGGGTGTGGATAGTAGCCTGGGACCTGTGGTACCTGGGGTGTGGATAGTAGTCTGGGGCCTGTGGTACCTGGGGTGTGGATAGTAGCCTGGGGCCTGTGCTACCTGAGGTGTGGATAGTAGCCTGGGGCCTGTGCTACCTGAGGTGTGGATAGTAGCCTGGGGCCTGTGCTACCTGGGGTGTGGATAGTAGTCTATGACTATTTATGATTTTAATCCCTTGTGTGATTTTAATGTTTTACGGTTTTTAACTACTTGTGTGATTTTATTTTTTATGTTTTTAATGTATCTTGTGCTCTTAATCTGTCTTTTTATGTTTACTTAAATTCTAATGTTTGATGATTTATGCATGATGTTATATGGGTTATGAGGCGCTTTGCGTTGCCTTGTGTAGGAAAGGCGCTCTACAAATAAACGTTGATTGATTGATTGATAGTCTGGGGCCTGTGGTACCTGAGGTGTGGATAGTAGTCTGGGGCCTGTGGTACCTGGGGTGTGGATAGTAGCCGGCCTCCACAGCTCGGGGGTCCCTGCTGTACGCTGGTCCTGGGGTGTAGGAGTAGGCCATGGAGGGGTTGGAGGTGTGGTTGTAGGCAGGACTCTGGGGGTAGGACTGAGGATTCTGTGGGGGTCCAGGGTAGTGTCCCGACCACTGCTGCTGCTGCTGCTGCTGAGGCATGCTGTACTCAGAGGGATCCTGGGGGCCTCTTCTGTGGACACAAAAGGTCAGTATTACATAAAAAGGGCCGCGACAAGCCTCCACTCCAAACAATGATAAAAAATAAAGGTTTAAACCCAACAGTGTAAACGGTTAAGCGTAAAGTTTTGAGGCCGGTTTGAAAGACGTGTGAAAGAGGAATACTTAAATATTTCTCTTAACAGAATTTATGGACTGAGATACAGGCTTCTGTTTACGTTTAAGTCTTCATGTAGAAACAAAACAGGTCTAATACAAGCGGAGAAGGAGCCGTCAGGTTTTAGTAGACTGTTAAAAACACAAATTGTGAAGTGAAAATGTCCAGAAAAACGGTCAAAACACAAATGTACAAGTTATAGTTCTAAAAATACAATAATACAGGTATAGTAGAAAGCATACAACATTTTAGTTTGGAGAATTTGAGCCTATTTGTGCTTCTTGATATTAGTTTGGATGGAACTAAAAACAACTCCAGGTCGGTTTTTGATGAGAGGCAACGTGGTTAAAATATATCTTGTTTAAACATTGACGAGCTAGTGCAGGATACTGAAACAAGGTTATATCTGTAGTGACAAACTGGATTAGAATTTTAATTAATATCAAACCAAACCCACCGGCTGGTGCATACTGTATGTGTACTGGGTGCATCTCTGACAGCCACCCCCTGACCCAGAAATGGACTTAGGGGTTGAAAATGGACGGATCTAACCAAACCAGGTCTATAGTAGGTCTAAAGCAGGACTAAAGCAGGACTGAAGCAGGTTTAAATGGTCCAAACCAACTCCAAACCAGGTCTAAATCAAGTTGTTACGGCCCACGGCCCATAATTCCCTCTTTTGGGGATCACTTTAGTTTCTCCCGTGGTGTCTCTGTGTGGTTGTGTTTCCTCCCTTTTTCAGAAGACCACGCCGTGAGTCCTGGGCTCCTATTGGCCAGTCATTCCCCATTGCAGCTGGAGTCAGTGGACTCCAGTTCACTGGAGTGTAGTTTTCTGTATTCTGTCACTTGTGCCGGTACATTTAGTTCAGTGACTTGTTTAGTTTATGTTAAGACACTTCAGTTTAGATTACACATTTGGTTTTGTTATTTGGTTACTGTTTAATAGGTTATTTATTTACTCTGTGTGTTATGTAGATATTTAATCCTATTTTGTTTTACCTGCTTTGTCATTATAATAAATTATGATTTTAGTTACCATTTAACATCTTGGTGATTCTGTTACTTCCTCACACCTAGCTGAGCCGGGTCGTAACAAAGTTTAAACCAGGTCTAAACCAGGTCTAATCCAGGTCCAAACAGGGTCTAAACCAGATCTGCACCAGGTCTGCCCAAGGTTTTCCCCATGGCTAAATCAGGACTAAAAAAAGTCTAAACCAGATGCAAATAAAGTCTAAACAAGGTCTAATCCTGGTCTAATCCAGGTCTAAACCAGTCCTAAATCAGATACAAATCAGGTCTAAATCAGTTGCAAGTAATATCTAAACCAGGTCTAAATCAGGTCTAATCCAGGTCTAAACCAGGTCTAATCCAGGTCTAATCCAGGTCTAAACCAGGTCTAAACCAGGTCCAAACCAGGTCCGGACCAGGTCTAAACCAGGTCTAAACCAGGTCTAAACCAGGTCTAAACCAGGTCTAAACCAGGTCTAATCCAGGTCTAATCCAGGTCTAAACCAGGTCAAATCCAGGTCTAAACCAGGTCTAAACTAGGTCTAAACCAGGTCTAAACCAGGTCTAAACCAGGTCCAAACCAGGTCTAAACCAAGGTCTGAGCAGGAGCAAAGCTAACAGACACGTGTGTGGTGATGCAGCCTGTAACGGTCGAGTGAGATACAGGAGCAGCTCTATATCTTCCACCAGTGACCTTACTGTCTAGAAATGCTGCTGACGGCTCATTCAGAGTGAGGTCTGGGTCCAGAATAAGACCTAGACCCAGACCTCACAGCAGCAGGATCCACCAGCAGGAGCACTTTTAGTACCAGGGATCAGCTCACACACACACACACATACAGATTGAGTAGCCTGCATTGCTATGGTGATAACTACTGGTGTGATTTAGAATCAGAATCAGAATCATTTTTATTGCCACGTAAGTAACAGGAGGTCACAGACTAGGAAATTGCTTTGGCTCAGTGCAACAGTCAAAAAGAGATAATAAAAATAAGAATAAAAAACACTTCTAAAGAATAAATTTAAATATAAAATAGAGTTACAGTTACTATTTACAGTATACAAGTGCATATGGTGCACACAATGTAAGGTGACAGCAGTACAGTGAAGTAAAGTGACGTATGATGGGCAGTAAAGTGACTTTATAAAGGGCGGGGGGACAGGTTAAGAAGTGTTCAAGAGTCCAACAGCAGAGGGGAAGAAACTGTTCTTGTGGCGGGAGGTTCTAGTCCTGATGGACCGCAGTCTCCTGCCTGAGGGGAGTGGTTGGAATAGTCCATGTGCAGGGTGAGAGGGGTCGGCTGTGATACGACCAGCCCGGCCTCGAGCTCGGGCGACGTACAGGTCCTGCAGCGATGGAAGGCTGCGGCCGATCACTTCCTCTGCAGAGCGCACAATGGACTATACAAATACATATTTAATTGTTACTGAATATAACTTCACCAATCCTGCTTAGCCATACATTAACATAAGCAGGAGACACATGTTCAAGACTTTTTTAAAGAGTACTTGCATTAACTCGCACATATACTGTAAGTCTAAAGATTTTAAAGTAAAAAGTAGAAAAAGGTAAAAGCATGCATACAAAAATCTTTATAACACGTCTTAAAATGAGCACTATTCAAATACTGTATATAATGTAATAGAATGCAAACGTGGGGGAAACTAGTGAGATAGAAAACTCTGCACAGCTGTAGCTCCCAGGGCATTATTTTATTTTGCACCAGAACATGTGACGTTTTGGGCAAAACTAGTTGCATTGTATCACAGGGCTATGTTGTGGTTTGAAATTTACGTACCTGAGCTTTAAAAATGGCAGTATCGAGTCCTCCATTTTTACATTTAATTTGTTTCAATAGGAAAATATGCATTTCTGTAGAGGATCTTGTTTTAACCCTTATTTGTTCACTCCTTAATTTTCTAAGAGGTGGGAACTTCAAAAACACATTTTTGACCCCCTAGTTTTTATTATTATTATTATTGACCTTTATGACCTTTATTGATGGTTGAGATGCAGTTTGATGGTAAAAGTGCCTAAAAACAAAAAACATCAAAAAAATGTAGATTTCAATTCCAAGCTTCCAAGCTGATCTACCAAATGGATTTTTATACTCAGTTACATGTTATAAACAGGCATAAGTCCCATCATGGAGACAAACAAGTACCAAATTTCCCACAAGAAACTTCCCATACGACGACATACTGCGTACACACAATAGACAATTGGCAGTGCAGTAAACGACTACAAATATGAACTCGCCAACACCGAACCATTACACTTCATGCATAAACCGTTCTTTTGCCCGTACTTCCCGCTCACAGCTGGGCTAATCCTCTCTGCTGTTATTATGAGAGGCTGCTTCAACTCTGGCCCAGTGCAGACAAGTACACAAACACATGTCCCCTGCATAGCTGACATTATGAGGCTCCGCGCTATAAGCCACTGTCCACTTCACTTTCACTGGGGGCGACCGCATCTGCCAGGGAGCCCAGTTTAACAAGACCGGCTCAATTAGACACACGCGCCCTCCTCCCACAGCACCACGGAGTCTGGGGTCCGAGGAGGAGGAGGAGGAGGAGGTACAGCCAGTGTCGTGGTGCGAGGTACGGTTACAGTCTCGTAAAAAGGATAAGCTGTAATAAGTGCGTTTCCAGACAGATTGTAACCGTTATAGACATAGCTCTAGGTTTAAAGCTGGATTATCCAAGTTTACAAGTGTAAAGAGGGAAGTAAGTCGTTATTGATAGATAGATACTTTATTGATCCCTGTTGGAGAATTTCAGGTAGCCAGGTATTCCAGTAGCAGCAAAAACTCATCCTTCCACACAAACAAAACAAATAAAGAGATCGTTCTAAAATTCTAACAATATACTAAAATGTAGCAGCACTTTAGGGCACAGCAGCAGAGGTGGAGCCGCTTGGTTCGGACCATTTTCTCTGCTCTGTTCCAAAGTAAAATGCTAAATGCTTTGTTAGCATTTTTTAAAAGTTAGCATTCCTCCAGTGGATTTTTTTCCAAATCCGCTTGTTTAGAACCATGAATCCTCTTGAACCAAGCGGATCTGGAACAGTGTGAAACCATGAACAATGTACTGCAGCATCATCTCAGGTAGATAAAAGCTAGAAAAATAACAATTGTAAAACACAAAACAACATCTGTTTTAGAGACACTTAGGTCTTGTTGCTGTTTCCAGTGCATTCTAAAGTAGTAATACTGATGATAATGATACTAATAATAATAACAGATCAAACTTATAAAGCGCTATTTTGGACACTTAACAATGCTTTACATACAGTAACACATAAAGTAAACTAAGAAGAGAAGTTAAGGAAAAACTGAAACAGATGGCGTTTAAAGTGGTTTAAAGTTCTATGGTGAAAAATTTCCAATCTCTCTTCTGGTTTGAACCTGTTTTTAGCATTAGCACAACTTTTATTTAAGCTAGAGTTGGTACTTGCCGATAAAGGAGGATCATAGGACAATGGCGATTATCCAGGACACCCGACATTTATGGATTTTATCAACATTTTTGGACGTTTGATTCTTTGATCTGTGTTGGCAAATTCAACGGTTTTGTGAAGTCCTCAGAGAGAACTGCTGTTGTGATGTCGGGCTATATATAAAAAATTAAACAAAAGTTCAGCTGAGTATTGTAAACTAGGGACAGGTCCAAGATACAAACATACGTGGTCCAATCTTGGTTGAGTTCTCATTTATTTACTTAAAATAATAAAATAATTGTAAATACACAGGATTATAGCTGTGTAGCTAGCATACACACACTCATTCAACCCTCATCTACTGTATACTGAATGTTTTTAGTGGTAGGGGAAAACAGAGCACC